ATAATTTATTAAGTGATTGGAGGCCAAAAACCAGTTAGCATAGCTAGTCTAACATCTCATAAGCATTCTTCAAGTCAAAATTAGAAGAGATTTAAAAAAAAAAAATACTGCATTATTAATAAGGGGACAAATTGTATCAAGAAGATACAACAATTATAAATATATAGTCACCAAACAGCAGAGCCCTAATTTCATAAGCAAACATTAAAGGACACAGAAAGTCAGACATGCTCTAGAACAATACTAGAGGGTGACTTCAATACCTTACCGTCTTTAACTAATGTTCAGTGTTGTATAACAGTATCCTCTGAATTGAAACATTGCGTCTGAGAGGGAGGCTCCTTAAAACTCAAGACATTCTAAAGGGATGAAGCTCAACACCACTCAGTAAGCAACTCATAAGTCTCAGGAAATCCCTGAAATGTAGCAGATTCACAAAGATTCCTCCCTCCCCAAGGTTATATAAACAATAAGGACTGCTCAAAAGAGGAGAATATCAAGCATGTTGAGCAGCTTGTAAATCATACAAAGAGCTCCACAAACACATTTCTCAAATAGTGACTTAGGGTGCTGCTGCTGCCTCTAAGTCATTCCTAGTCCTGTAAGGGACCCCAATAAATTCACTGGTTCACCAAGGTGAACTTGGTAGAATCCATTCTTTGATCTGTAAGCAGTGCCCTATCTGGGGTGAGAAGAACTTTCTTCACATGTCTCATGAAATGCACACACCAGTTTCTTTCCCTGTGTGGGGCAGCTATCCACCATCCCCACGGTTCCCCAGAGTTTTCTTGAGTGAAAGCAGCAGGAAATATTAGATAGAAGGATTTAGAGTGTGGAGATAGAAAATACAGGATAGCCTCCAGAGGGCCTGGGACCTATTCCAATGGGCCCTGACTGTCTCTGCCCTAAGGTATTTATAGAAACGCCAAGGGGTGGAGCAAAAGACCTCCCCCAGCTCAGCCAAGTGCTGACCATCTCAGACACCTGCACTCAGGCCTGTGGTCCTAATCATCCTCTATGTGGACCTGCTGGGTAAAGCCACTAGGAACCTGAAAATGGATTCCCACATCCCTGGAAATAGCACTAGTACAGTTTGAATGCCTTTTTAAGACTCACATGTGAACCAGTCAGCATAGTACCCAAGCAGGCATAAGAACAGGTCCTTTGTGCCAAGTGTCCTCTTCCTGGACACTGAAGCCAGCATACCCTGCAGGAACAAGTCCTCAAATTCTACTTATTCCAGTGTACACTTGGTCACATCAGTAGCTCAGACTAGCCAATCTTGGTCCTTCTCTATACTGCTTTCCTGTTTCTAGAATATACCATCCAGTCTTCTTGATCTTCCAGTGTTGGGGCCACATTTTGACAACCTAGTCAGGGATAACTCCAACTTTGATTGAATGATCTTTTGAGTCCCTTTTGCTAGCATTCCAGCTCAGTCTATCACTGGGGGGAGGTCAGGACAGGAACCTGAAGGCAGGAGCTGTTGCAGATTCTATGGAGGGATGCTGCCTACTGGCTTACTCCCCAAGGCTTGCTCAGCCTGCTTTCTTATAGCACCCAGCACCATAAGCCCTGGGGAGGCACCCACAATTAGCTGGGTCCTCCCACATCAATTACTAGTTAAGAAAATGCCCTAGGGACTTGCCTACAGACCGATCTTACGGGAGCATTTTCTCAGTTGAGAGTCAGTCCCTCTTCTCAAATGACTCTAGCTTCTGTTGAGTGGACTTATATAAAACTAGCTAGCAAGTTGATAAAGACTTTACCTATGGAAGATACTCACAAATCTTAATAGTTCTTCCTGACAAAGACCACAGCACTTGTCTTGTTTCCAGAGAGCAAGGAAAGAGGCTATCCGTAGTGCTGGCCCTGGGCACACTGGAAGTTAATCTGAAAACCTGTTGCAAAAACAGGCTTGCGCTGGTTCCTTGGTTTCCTGGGAATTCCAGAAGTGGCCCCCCAGAGAACTGTCTTCTGGAGACTGGGGTTTGACAGAGACTAGGTACCCAACTGAAGGGCGGGGAGCACAAGTCGGGGGAGGGATGGAGGGATGCAGAAGCTTTGGGGACCCAGATCCCACCTGCCTAGGCTCCCTCTAGGTCAGTCCACTAGTCCTTTCATTCCGGAGGCTCCAGAATCATGCCAGATTCCACCCCACAATACTGCGTCTCTGAGACGTTCCTCTCGGACCCTGCAGCTGGTCACCTGTTGGGCCTCCACTTTCTGGCCTCAGGTGAGGTACCATTAGCCCCCACAGGCAGGTAGCCTATCTCGGCCACTCCATGCAGATTCTTGGTGGGTCAGTATTGTGGGCTGCTCACCGTCCCCTGCTCCTGCCATACGGCTGACCCAGGTGGATCTCCCGCCACAGCCCTGCCACAGAGCCTCTCGTCCACCGTTCCCAGCATTCGAAGGTGCCATCTCCAGCCAAGGGCAGCTTGGTTCTGGGTTCTGGGGCAGTTTGTGCTGAGTTTATTAGTCCCAAGAGGAGGCGAACCCTGGTGGCCCAGAGGTCTCTGGTCAGTTCAGTCTGCCCAACACACAGTGTAGCACCATCCACAGCAATCACCTGCTTTACATCCAGTTGAGTCTTCCTTAGCCTGCCTGAAGTCACTGTCCTGTGGGTGATCCAGGAGGGCCACTTGTCCCCTCTTTCCTTGGAGACGCCCTGGACGTGGTCATTTGCTGCGTCATATACCTTGTTGGGCTTTGCCAAACTGAGAAAGAAACAAGCATAAGACAAAATTTGAAATAATCAAAGCAAAACAGCCGAAAATCAAGAGAAAAAAAAAAGTTACACGAAAAAGGCCCGATTAAGGAAAACCCAAATTTTGCAAAGGAAAAATAAAGAAAAATCAAATCGGAGAGACCAGGCAAAGATTTTAAACCTAATTTCCGGTTTAGTACATTTGCCTGGCGTTTGTAGTATAGG